GACTGCTGTAATTCTGTTTCTAGGTGTTTTAAACCTCTGGAAAGCAGTCACAGCTGGACGGCTTCAGCTGTGGTACACAGATAGTGCAGAATGACATTTCTTACGCTGTTATGAAAGAGAGATTACTGAGGGGGAAAAAAAACAAAGATGAACTTGTTAAGGGAATATTTTGTCTTTGATCCATGAAAACAGTAATACTAACCAGTGACCAGAGTATAAAAGCTAAACAAGCACTTTATGTCACCTGTACTCACTACTGTGTCAGCATGTTAATGTCCAACATAAGGGACAGGCCCAGTTCTTCAGCCTCATTATCAGAATGTTGAGGCTGAGAATCTGGCTCCAAAATAGCAATAAGACACTTTGGATCTATTTATCAGTTTTATGTCATGGAGTGCAGTGGTATTATTCACACAGAAAGAACAGTAAGGCAGCAAAAATTCAGGCAATTTGAGAAGAACCTGCAAGAATAGTACAGAAGGTGCTGACCCTTCTCCCCAGTCATGCTCACTGGAGTTCCGTACAGTAATGAGGTTCTAATGTGTCATTCAAACCTCTGGGTTCAAATCCTGTGAAAGGGCACTGTCCAAACCTACAGCATTACAAGTGATTTCATCGGCTTTAAGGTCAGAAATATGCCCTTATTTATTCTGTATCCACACAAAATATCTAAATTTTCAGCTGATAATCTGTAAAATATGTGAATGGTGTGCTTTAGGAACTAAATATAGAATATATATTTGAGCAAGTTCACAAAATATTTTCAATATGGAAGCAACCATTATCTGAGATGATCAGACACCCACCATCTCTGGCTGGATGAGGTGATACTGGGTGCCATCAGCCAGGGTGATGAGATGACTCTTGTTCTGGAGCTAGACAACTACTGCCTGCTGTATACCTGCTTAGAATGCCCTCTGCTTCTCTAGGCAGTATAGTAATGTTCCTCACTATGCAATCACACCTTCACCCAGAACTAAGAATTCCAGTAAAGAATTCTAGTAAAAATTTTACAGTTTGTAATGCTAAGCATTGCTACATGGAGCTGTCATTTATTAAAAAAAAAAAAAAAAAAAAAAAAAAAAGCATTCCTCCATTGCCAGATACAGAAGTAGCCACATGTGAATGCCATGGGGAAGTACTTGACTGCCATCCTGTGCTCTTCTGGTGATTATCATTGAATCCATGGGTAAAAAACATCTCAGCATGGAAATTACTCCTTGGGTAAAGGAACTTCTTTCTGAATGCACATGGGATTCAGTCCAGTGCCTATATACACACATTATTTTTAAGTGCATCACTTAAGTATATAAATTTAGACATGTATTTAAGTGTTCTGCTGGATCAGAGCCATAATGAATGGTTATGTTATGAATTTATGAGCTATATTTTTTTAAAAAGCAAACATATTTTTGAAAACACTACACTCAAGTGTTTCTGATTAATTTAAGGGCTTTCAAACTTACATTTCTAACTCCTGCAAGGAGATTTGTACCCTAATTCACTTAGCTGCATGTTCTGACAAACAGCAAATTATTACATGCATTTTTTAAGATACAGTGACTAGACGAAGAATCAAAAGCTTTCAATTAAATTGCATCAGAATATTTAACTTATTTTTTGTAGTTGCTTATACTGTACTGAAAATATATAAAATGTCACCAGTTCCAAATTATACCATATTACGTTCAGTATGCTTATGGGAAGAGGACTAAAGGAATGCAGGGCTTTGCCTAGTATTGGAAATACGGAGCATCACTCTCCAGTTATTCCAGCCATGACTACATCCACTGGAATCTATATGAACCACTCAATATGAATAAAGTGCTTCATAAGCCATGCTTATATGCCTGAGGCTATCGATACTCTTTTCCTAAAGTCTTCCCCTTTTTGAGGAAACAGAGAAATGAGAAGCCTTAGATAAGAAACGACAATCTGTTCAGTCATGTCTCTGTACTGGAACTACTTCTCTCATGTCCCTCATAACTTGTGCAAGAGGACACTGGACTTTCCTTATGATATCATGGCTCTCTGGAGACTTGCAGTTAAACTCCAGGTGTCATTGCTCCCTACTCTCCCCGGCTGGCTAGCTGTAGGTAGAAGACTTCGATATTCTACCAATAGCACTGTGTGGATGAGCAGGAGGGCAGGACTCCTGCTTTACGTGCTTTTGTGTTTGCCGCTAACCAAACTACCGTGTTTGCAGGGAGAGTGGAGGATGGCAGAACTTACAACAGCTAAACCTGAGATGACTTTGGAATTTCACGTCTTATGGTCAGATGGTTTCATGACAGGAAAACAGCATGATCACCCTCGCTGGATAATAGGTAAAGCTTTTCCTCTGTGAAACAGTTTAGCACCACACACTGATGGTGACTAGGATCACTGCATACACCTTCTCTGGCAACTCGGCTTCCTTCTGCAATAGTAGCCTCAGAAAATAGTGTTTGCTCAGCAGATTTCAGTCCATATTTCTGTCACTGTTGACAAGGCTGGAAGTGACTTCTCTGGTGAGTTACTGTTTTTACCCTGGGTGCCTTTATTGGCTTAGTTTAGACTGTTACAGCTTAATCATAACAAAGTCTTCTTCAGGAATAAATCAAAAGTTCGCCAGAGGCTGTGTCTTCTTTCCCTCGGAGGATGTTGATTTAATTAAATGATTTGGTAGAAATACATTGACAAAATTATCTAGATTAAAAAAACACTATTGGATATTTAGGTTGCTTTTGTGAAGTATATAATTTTGAAAAGAAAATTAAAAAGCTACAAGAAGATAAACAAACACAGCTTTTTCAGTATTTCTGAAATGAATATCTTCCCTTCTATGTTCCAGTTTCTCAGACATTAAAAATAAAATGCTTTTAGAAGCTGAGGTGTCAGGATTTCCTAAAAAACAGAAATCCTCAATTCTGACAAGCTCTGAATTCCCTTGCGCTCAGCTCAGAAGCTGCAGCAGTTGCAGATGTGTCACTTACATCACTCTCATTCTTTGTGATCAGTGTTAGCTGCTGACAATCCTACAAGCCTAAGCTGCTCTCATGCCAGATTTGTATGGGAAAGACGTGCACACAAGGCATGAAATAGAGTAGATCAGGACAGATGATTCATCTCCAGCCTCTTTATCATATCATTTATGATTCCCTAAACGCTCTGTTTCTGAGGTATTTGAAGATTGTCTCTTTTCACCTCATCCCATGCGGATTAAAATGGGTGAGTGATTAAAGTGGATGGGTGCAATTACACTTCATCCTACTACTTTGCCTCAAATTTTGTCATGACATGAATTTCTTGATGCAAGAAGCACTCAAGACTGTAGGAGGAGGAGACATTTCTATCATCTATTCTGATCTCCTATGTAAAAAAATAAATTGTACCCAGTACCTCTGAGACAAGGAAATGTATTCCTTGGGATGGGAAGTACAGAAGCTAAAATCCCAGGTGGCACAAACTGAATGCAGATATATCGTTCCCAGTAGCTGCACAAGACAAAAAAATTCTGAGGCTTGAATCCAAAAAGATACTACTATGTACAGAAAAGCAGAAGGTGATTATAATGATATTCCTCTATGCTGTATTTTGCAGCCACAGAGAATGGAATTAATAACAAGTCACATAAATGGACTGAGACATTCTGAAATAAGCAGTCAACATTTCTAGCAGGGGAACCAAGCCAGTGGGTAAAGCCACATGCTGGTCAAGGAGAGACAAGAGATGATGGAAGGCAATCAGCAAAGGAGAAGCAAATCCTGATGCCAAAGAGAGTATTCCCTTTTATTTCAAGGGGAAGAGGACTTAGTTCCATATATGATTAATCATCTTACAAACTGTAAATTAAAAATTAAACTAGAAAGAAAATCCTTCTTACATTCCCAAAGTTCTGCTTTCTCGTTTGATTTCATGCAGGCTAAACACATAGCAAAATCCAAGTCTACCCATAGAGTTCTTGTAATGCTTCTAATTTCCTAAACTAGTAAGACTTTCCCTGCAGAGCAAAATACAGCTTTGATTTCCTGGTGTCCACTGAAATTGTTCCCTGCCCTTTGAGACATCATTGGTACATTGTAAGAGAAAGTCTCCAGAGCAATATATGAAATGCTAAGAGCGGGGGAGAAAACACACCATAGTAGTTTGGAATAAGTAAAGGCCACATCTCATGGGTCCCTGCTCACAGACAATTTATATTTTTAGCTCTTCCCTGAATGGGTGGAGGAGAGCCAACTCACCCTTTGTCCTCACAGAAAGCTTTAAACGAAGCTGAGGAAGGCTGGTCACGTGCAGGACAATCCATACACCTACAGCTTCCAGGGTGGTTCCAGCAGCCTGCTTCAAGGCAGGCAACAGGAGAGGCAGAACCAGGGCAGGAGCACCAGGGAGAAGCACCGTAGAGGTGCCAGCAGTTGGGAAGAAGGCCTCATGCTGGGCATGGGGGCAGCCCACGTGCTCACAGTCCACTTGAAGGCTTCTCTGCTAGGTCTTGTGGAGAGATGTGCCACCCTCACTCCAAACAGCCAGTAAGAAACAAAACGAGACCATTAGCTCTACCCAGAGGTTCCCTCACCAAAGCTGAACTCGTCTGGCATGCACTCCTGAAGCACAGCCAAGAATTTCCTGTAAGCCATAGCTGGTTATTTTCTTTTTCAGGAAAAAAAATGGATCTGGTAATAATAAGGGCCATCCAGGTGACCTGTATCATAACAGATATACATCTGACATGGTATGTGTACATGGTTCCTACACCTTAATGTTATCACAGATTAATACTTAAGTGCTTTTTTTACTCTAAGCATTATACCCTCCTAGCCTGTGTACTTTGTGAAGAATGACTGCTTCCTATCAAATGAAAATTAATGCACATTTTGACAGAACAAAGATATTATGTCTCCACATTTGCAAAACATTACCTGATGCATAAATTTTGTATGGCTTAACATGTTATTAACAGTACTTTAAATGTTATGTTCTTTTTTATTTTAACATGTATATCTGAAAATAGCCCCTTTCAAATTGACTTGCAGTAATGTCTTTAAAAGCAAACTTTATACATAATTTGCTGCACATACAATTATCTGAGTAAGTTGCATAGTTTAAACAATTTTAGTTGTGCTTTGTAGCAGAACTCACAGTAATTACTCATCTCTTAAAAATACTACTTGCAGATGTGAAAGATGATACATTTAAGCATTTTTGTGACATCTAGACATTAACAATATGAGTTTTTGTCACTCTTCCACTGACTTCTGTTGTTTTCCATCCTTACACTGATATTAGATAGGGCATGGACATTTAATGGACACAGCTGAAATAATTACAAACGCAATTTTTAAAACTCCATTGTCAGGAAGGGAGAATTAAGAACTTGGGTTGGTTTGAGGTATCCAGCCCTCAGGAACATACTATGGTTGTATGCATTAAGCTTTGTTGGTTTTACCATGTGTTCCATTTAGATTAAAAATAGAAGGCACAGGTGTTTTACAAGGCGCCATAATTAAGTCAACCAACAAAATTAAACATTACATTACCAAGCCAGGGGTCTATATCTCAGCAGTGACTTCTTCCAATGCATTTTCATTTGAGGAATTTATTGCTTCTGAAAAGGGGCCAGGGTATGTCTGTGCTATGCAGTTCATTCCTTGTGCCATACCAATGTCTCCTCGAGAACTGAAGGTAGGGCAGGATCTAGTCCGTGCATAGTTTTGTTGGAGTCCAGCTTGGCCAACCATCTCACTCACAGTGTTCACCGGCGAAGCCCTCCATCTTTGTCTCTGTAGTTGCTCTTCTTTACACTTAATGGAGTACCAGGCCAGAAAAATAAAAAAGAATCCTACAAACTTGAGAGCAGCAGCCAACCCAAAGTAGACAAAACGAAATGAGGTGACATCGTATTCCCAACAAGATCCTTGTACGCCACAATCCTGTTGCCAAAGCATGCATGTGGTATCAATAACAGCCCCAAAATAAATTGGAGTGGGAATGTAAGCTGAAATAAAAATAGCAACAGCATTAATACGTGTTAGCAGATAGAGGAAGACTTCCAAATAAACTATGTATGCATGTAAGCCAAACAGGTGTAGGTCAAGAAGTTCCGAGATTTCTACTGCTCTATTCTTCCCACCATTAGTACTTATCCCACTTAGGAACACCATATAAGTGACAGTGTTGAAGTAAAGACAGCGCAGCAACATCTTACAACAGCTACTGCTCCACTCTGTAGAGCCCAGCCAGCTCTTCATGAACTATTTGTCCCCCCAGAGAAACTCCAGTGCTCTCAGGAAATAAAATCAGCAGGAAAAAAAAAAATGAGATGTTATCTCCACAGCATTACTCGTTGAACATCCATTACCCATAAGCTGGGAAAGAGCAGATTGCTGCTTTAGATTAAGGAGAAAAAGCCACAGAAAATTGCAAAACATTTCTCTTACCGAAGAAGGATGGAAGTAATAAGACCACTAGAGTTTCAATATCTCTTTTGAAGGTATCTTCCTCAGAAACCGAATTTAACATCTAAAATTGCCAGACCCTTAAATGCTCTGTTTTCCCTGGAAATATGACACCTTTAAGATGAGTCAGAAAGGGCCTTCCTCAAAGAAAACTGTTGCCTTACTGACCAGATGCAGCCACGAGTACTTTTCCTCACGTTATCACATAGAATAATCACCGCTTGTTCTATTCACTACTATATTGCTTGCTCCATTCATTATATACTATTTGGTAGTAGCTGAACACCAGAACCAGTTGGGATTTTAGGAGTTCAAGAGGATGAGCACTGGCACTTCATCTTCTTTTCCAAGTAATTCCAGTTTCTGTCCTCGAATACGCAATATTATTTATGGCAGAGGAGAAGGACTGAAGACAGACACAATCCTGCTATGGACATGTTTAGAAGACCAAAGTTGTTCTTGCTATGTCATCTAACTGGATCAAGAAATTACCAATTGTTGTCAAAAGAAAATATTAGTTTGTCAAAAACCAAATCATGTCAGGTAGGGTTTTTAAATAAAACTTGAAACTGTTAAAATACTTCTTTCTGGGACAAAAATATCATTCCAGAATGTCAATAATAAAAATAAATGTTTTAAATACATTCTCAGTGACAACATTTTCAGAAGCTATTAATTCTAAGTTCCTAATACAATCAGCCAGGTCATTAGTGGCATATTTATGGAATTTTAGTACTTTAATGTTACATTTAAGGCATCACAAACCTTTTGGAAACTCTGCGGTTTCTGTGAAAGCTTAGTAGCTACATGACTTACCAAGAGTTCGTAATAGAACAAACTGCATTCCTAGTGCAAAGGGCCGTTCCCCATCTTCCACAGACCTAGCAGACAAAAATAAACTCCTTTACAAACTAGTCATCATAGTCACTGTGGACTGTTCTGACTTTACATCCTGGATTTTTTTCTGAGCTATAATAAATTTTTGTCAACATCCAAACAGTCTGGCTAAACATTCTTCCATTTCAACATAAGCAATATGAGATTCCTTCCAATAGTTAAAAAAAAAAAAAAAAAGTCAAGCTTTCAAAGCACTGCATGCACAGTAGTGATATTTCACAATGCCTCAACAATTTCAGTAAATCACAAGTTATTTTTTAAATCTTAACCAAAATATCTGAAATTCAGATAGGCAACTTGTAGTGACACTGGAATAGAAGATAAAGAACAAACAGAAAAACTGCAGTCAGATAGTCAAGCTTTTCAAGCCAAGAACTCAGCCAGAAACTGAAAAACCAGAGAAATAACTTGGGCCACAAATCTTGGACCAACGTGCTGTGCACAGTACGTGGCACTGCTGTTCCGTGGACTAGGGGGAGGGAGGCGTTCTCTTCTTCAATGAGCATCACAAATTCTGCTGAATATTTCCCTTATGTATCTCACTAAAGTGAAGCTCTCTGCAATATTAATGTTCACTGGTTGCAGTTTACCTTTCCATAACTGCAGCACAGTGACAATGTGTTCTTATTGTTCTTACTGTGCAGGTGGAAAAGTCAGAGAAGGAACACAAGTCCGAGGTATCCAAATGACAGTGGAATATCAAGGTGGTATGTTTTTATTTGTTCTCTCTATATATGGTCTAGAAATTGTTGGACATTTCTTGTTTCCCAAAGTGCATTATCATGCAAATATTCTAAATTCTTCTGACACAGACACTGGTGACAGCAAGCACAGCAAAAATACATACGTGAGCCCATATCTTTGTTCCTACCTGAGTGTCACTATGATTGCTGATGGCTGGGCGCACGCTGTAATAAGGGTCACTATGAAGAGAAATATCAGGAATGGGATAAGTGTGTTGCAGGTTCGATCGCACTTCCCAGAAACAGCATAGCCGTTCTCATTCAGGTAGGTTTTGACAATGACCAGCCGGAGCTGGCTGCGCTGGCCCACTGTCGGCGGGGTGATAACCTGGCGGCTTTGGACACAGGCGCACTCTGTGTAATTTCTTACCTGGGGAGAGGGGAAATGGGAAACAGAGAACATTTCCACATGAAAACTCATGTGAGAAAGACATGGTATGTCCTACGTAACCTTCACAGCAAGCATCAAATACTTCCCAATCAGGGTTCTACAGTCTCCAGCATCATGATCCCAGGTACAGTCAAAATTACCACTCTGAGAGGTTTCAAAGCTGGCCCAAATATCCCATAATAGATCTGCTTTCCCATTGCTCATAACTTCCACTAGTTCATAGAATCATAGAATGGCCTGGGTTGAAAAGGACACAACGATCATCTAGTTTCAACCCCCTTGCCATGGGCAGGGTCACCAACCACCAGACCAGGCTGCCCAGAGCCACATCCAGGCTGGCCTTGAATGCCTCCAGGAATGGGGCATCCACAACCTCCTTGGGCAACCTGTTCCAGAGTGTCATCAGCCTCTGTATGAAAAACTTCCTCCTAATATCTAACCTAAACCTCCCCTGTCTCAGTTTAAAACCACTCCCCCTTGTCCTATCACTATCCACCTTTGTAAACAGCCATTAGGCAAGCAACAGTTAGGCAAGCATTTATAAAAATAAGAGTTTGTGAGAACTTTGCAGAAAGAATTCAATCACTTCTAACAAGGATGCTGGAGGAAAAGATCAATTCTGGTATATTATCAAAACTATGAGGAAACAACCTTTAAGCAGTACTGACAATAGCATATTCTGGAATTTGGCAGGCTGTTCACTGTCATCTGCAGGAGGTATCTTCTGCTATCTCTATGGTATAACCTATCTAGACTTGGATAAAGAGCAGAAAGCTGTGTTTCACACATGGAACTCAGAAACTTTCAGCTGAGTGTGGAGTGTGGATATGGATGGGATGTGGACAAGAGGAAAAACAGAATAAGGTGAACAGAGAGAATTAAACAGTGATATTGGAAGACACGAGGGATTCTTGAATGGACAAGAGTTGAAAATAGCATGAAAAGATTGTGCAGTAAACTGGCATTTCAAAGGCAAAGAATAGTGCGATCAGAGCCATATGAGGAAAAGCTAGGTCAGAAATAGGCTCTCATTACATCTTTTCTACTACAGTTTTTTAATGGCAAAAGTTTGTGTGGTGACTGAGAATATTCCTGTGTTAGGGAAGCAAATCAGTGCACACATAACACTAGAGGCTTTGATTTTTATGTTCATAAGTGTAGGACCACATATGCACAGAATCTACATTACAAGACCATCTTAATATTGCAAATTTAAGCACTCAGACATCAGGAAATAACCGAATTAGGGTTGCCTGTCAACTTCAATTTATACTCTTATTCACAGCTGTGTTACGGCAGCACCTTATTTTTATTTTTTTCCATGGGATTTAGCTGAACATCCTAATGAGAATTTATCCAGTATTTTACTACACATTTTTAAAATATGATCCCAAGCATTCTTCTCTTCATGCTAATAGAACTCTACTACAGAGCAGCTCATATTTCATATGGATTTTTTTTTTAATCAAACTCATCATGATAGCTTAACATTTTCAAAAAGGTGTAATTTATCTTCAAAACAGCTGAGATGAGGCACTGATGGTTTTATCTCTATTTTGTAGCTAAGTAATTGAAACAAATAAAAAGTTTCAGAAATGTGAGTGGCAAATTTAAGGGAACAAAGATCCCTTTCTTCTAGAATATTTTTCCTTATATATAACTTACTATTTCCTAAACACAACTTTTTTCTGCCTTCAGATAAAGATTTAGGCACTCAGTGCTTCTGCAGAAGACACTTCTGACTACTGCTCATGCTGATCATCCAGAATATGAAGAATAAAAAATTAATCACCAACTGGGATAAATTTTTGAGTGACTTGCCCAGTATTGCTTAGGAATGGAAGCAATAACAGAATCCAGTTTCTTAGGTTCTTCGTTTCAAGGTAGCTCTCCACTGTCTAAAACCACAAGTATTTGTTTCCTTCCTACATTCTTCATCTTAATCTCCTTGTTGCTTCCAAATAGGCCTCCTACAGAAAACAGTCTTCTTTAGTACACAATCTTCGCTCATCATCAGAGAGACCAAGTTTGTGCACTGAGACAGAGATCTTATACATGAGAAATTCTGGAGTTTACATAAACCAGTTCTGAATTCCACATGGGCATCCTTTTGCCTAATTCCAATTTTTAAGTGGCTAATTTTGAAAGCATTATATTCTATAAGCTTAAATCCTGATGTTATACCATAGCAACATTTTGTGTGCTATAGAGCGACCTAAGCTTGTAGACATTTCTAAAAGCATTCTACATCAAACATTATTTTCTCAAGAAATGTATTTTCCTACTCAATTCTTTTTTCCACTGTCAACCTTCAGGTGATGAAGGATCTTCTCTTAAACCATAGTAGAAAACAGTGTGTTTCAAAATCTGTGCTAAAGAGTACAAATTACCAACGTACTTCCCTATTAAATGAGTTATTAGCATCAGTTTGATATCAGGTAAATTGTAGCCTAGATTACACAACTGGGCCAAAGGAACTTTCTACTACAGACTAGGAAGACATTCAAAATGAAAATAAAAACAAAATAAAAATAAAAACAAACAAAAAAACCCACTGTTCTAAGTTTGTTCTAAGTGGAATCTACACAGGAACCTGCATTTATGAAACATTATCCAGTCAAACTTGAGATAGGGAAATGCTCGTGTTCATAGGCTGGCTCAGAACAGCAAATCAGCAGACTGATACGTTATAAATAAGCTTTTTGGAATGTACAATCAAGCCCTCAGAAGATCAATGTTTACATTACTTCCTGTCTTTCTTAATGATTTTTTTTACAGTTCCGTAACAGAAAAATTCAAGGGTTTGCCTTTCGTATTAAATGAGCATATAAATACCACTCTTTTGTTTGGAGGGTCAAATTGTACCTTTCAGTCCAGTATACTGCAAGATTCCCATGGTATAACTTTATCAGCAGGATGCCTCTCCCCAGCCCAGCATAACTGAAAGACTGGGCTGTAATGGATAATGCATATCCAAGAGAGAAAGTGGATTATTAACATCCTTTAGTTTCTGGTTACATGGGTTCAAAGGTAATTATATACCATGAAGGGGTCTGGAGAGGGACAGGATGAGGGCAAAGCTGCTTTACAAGAGCAGAATAAATGGGCAGTCTTTATTTACCAACACAAACAAAAGACCTATCAATGCACTAGTGCAGGTGGTACAACCACTAACGTGAAACAAGGAGCCCAGCACAAACAACAGTGGCTTTCAACAGGCCATCATAAAACTTACAAAGGAGTTTAGAACATTTTCCAATTACCAGAAAAGTTAAGTTCTTCCTTCCATTCAACGAGGAAACGACAACAACAACAAAATACACAACTACTATTAAAAATAACATTGACGAACTCGTGAAAAGACTGCATGCTTCAAGGACAGATGTTGGCTCTAGAAACAGAGCAGTCTTCAATCTGCTCCAGTCCTGATGGGCCACTCATGTTTGTAGGTAGGTGGGTGAAGGACTTACCCCTGTACTATGGTTTCCACCATTGATGCAGCCAGCCAGGCAAGGATTAAAATACGTTATTCCATCTGATCCACAGACAGGCTCATACTCATGAATTTTACATCCACAGTTCACATTACAGCTCCCAGTGAGATTCCTGTGGGCCATGGCAAGAGTGGGACTGAAAAAAGGAAAAAGAACATGCTAGTAGAGCAAGCACAGGTATTCTGCTGTTCAGAGGAGAAAACATCCTACTCATTAACACTGGAACTTACACTTGATGATTACAGAAAGACTGCATTAACCCTAGGTCATATGCTTGATTTGAAAAATTATTTGCTCAGGTGAAAGCCTTAGATATCTCTGCCAACAACTGAAAGAACAATATAGAAGTAATTCCAAAGTTTAAACCTTGTACATCATTTGTGTGAGTGTTGTATTTTATTCTCCTTATTTTTCCTTTTAAGAGTTAAGACATTTTATACAAGGTGAGCTGCAGCAATTTGCTGTTGATTAGTAGAGAAGAGCCCAGTGATGAGATGTGAGCATTATGTGAACTAATTAGCCATCTCTTCCCACATACCAACTGCTCCAGAAAGGTAATGCTTGTATTACTGATATGCACAGTTGAAAAATACAACAATCTCCCTGATCTTCTACATATGGAAGATCCCGATGCTATTACTAAACATCTCGAAAACAGCCACTATGCCATCTCCCTGGACTTTTCCCCGAGATACAATCAAAGCCCAACTTTCAGAGTTCTCTCACAAAGAGTGTAGCTGTAAGCTCAGAACCAGTGAGTTCCAGTGTGCAGCTCACACCTAGAATGGAGAGTCTGTCAAAAAAAATCTATCCCACTGTGGCACTGCTTTACCAGCGCTACCGCAGCAGCTCAATCCAGAAGTGGCACAGGCAGTAATAGCAGAATCCATACGCATAAGATCACAGATTCATTGTCATCAGATTCATCATCAGATGTTAAAAAGTACAGTGGTCAAATGCTACTTTTTGCTACTTGTAGAAAGAAATCAGCTCTGCTTACAACTGATGGTCAGATGGCACTAACAGAGGTTTTGATTTTTTGATTCCAGTTCACAAAGTGGGATGGTGATCAATTCCTCCACCTGCTGCCTGGTCCACCACATCATTCCAGCTCTGCCTAGAACAACTCCCAATTCACTCTCAAACTGCCAGCTCTCGGAACAACTACTAGGAGAGTGACCCAGCTGCTTCCTGCCCTGAAGCAATGACCATGGTGGCAGGGGAATTTTAATGCTTCTGGGTATGGTGAGGGCTTGGAATGCAAAGCAAAGGTCAAGAAAGTCTTTTACAGTGAGGATGGTGAGGCACTGAGACAGCTTGCCCAGAGATGTGGTAGATGCTCTTTCTTGGAGACATTCGAAGTTAGGCTGGGCAGGGCTCTGAGCAACCTGATCTAGCTGTAGATGTCCCTGTACATTGGGGGGGGAATTGGACTAGATGGCTTTGAAAGGTTCCTTCCAATTCTAAGGATTCTGTGATTCTATGAGGAAAAACATTAGCAGACATATCAACCTCACTGAAAGAGAATAATAAAACACCTACATAAATTCATATACAGATCCTGGTAATATACTAACAAAGTTCAAAAAAAAAGTTAAAGAAAGGTAAAGTGGATACTCATTGTTTCTTCATAAATTAAAAATAGACTGTAACAATTAGAATCAGTGTAAATATATGAGTTCCAGTGTGCTGGATGCAAGGTGTCCAGTTTGTCTTACTGGGTTTTTCCCAGACATTAGAATATATTAATGAAAATCTACAACTTCAGGAGAACAATACCTTCATCAGTGGTAAAGGGGGCTGCAGGTACCATCCTACCCTCTCCTGTGTTCTGAGCGCAATCCAACCCAGAAGACCTGAACTTCTGTCAGAAATGGCAGTTTGGCCCTTTTAAACACAAAGTAGATACTGAGCTCCATTAGGGCACGGGTATTAGCATATGTGCTGTAAGCAAAACTCTTGCCCTGGGAATTATGTTGGTATGCATAGCATCCACACCAGGCACTGCAGTGCAATACTGGATTAACTGTGCTGCCCTGTTTGCCCTGCTGTTGGTATTGCTCAATGATGCCACAGAGAGGCCATTGCTGTTTCAAGCCAGCTCAAGTGTCTTCTCTAAACAGAACAGTAGGTATCCGGAGGATGTTTGCACCTCCTCAGCCATGCAGGAGTTGAACAAGAATCTGAACTGGTTTGGGGGCTGCTGTTTGCTTACCTTAGCTCTCTAATACTCAGCTACAACAGCTGTAAAGGCAAACAGCTACCATCAGACTTACTGTTTCCCAGCAACACTGTGGACAATAAGGGATGTTCTTCTGCTCCCATCTTCCATACCCAAATAGATCAGAGGCTTGGCTCAGGAACACTCCACACATAATGCTTGTTATCCATGTTATTTGTCACCTCACCTCCCATCATCAGTGATGCTAAGTGGTACGACAGCTGCTTAGTAACTTCCACCTGATTCGTTTCTAATGTATTTAAACACTATTTGCTCTTGCTGAATATGCTTGTCTTTCCAGCTGTGCACTTTTGCAGCTGATCTAATGTTGCTAAGTACCTTTTAAATATTTATTGACTGTCTACTGATTACACAAATCAGGTCCACAAATTTAGCTCTTGGAGCTACTTTGCACTTTGTGGTCTAGTTGGATGTTAACCAAAGCCTTTCTGAGTGTTTTCTTCCTCGTCCATAAACAAACAAGGTACAGTTTTAGAAACGTTGCAGCTTGAGCAGGAAATTAAATATCCAGGACTGATACTGTCTCTGTTGCCTTCCCAGCTATCAGCTGAAACCTGTCTCATTATATCATGCTGGATTTCAGAAAGCAATATGAAGCAACATGTCATACACCACCAGGCAGATTTTTCCAGTAATTTCCCAACAGAACTTTTTGTCTGGTGGAAAACATTCAAATCGCCAAAATATTTCCCATGAACATACTGACTTCAGCAATGATGTGACAGTATTTTATCACAGAAACAGGAGAAGCAGCATTTTTGGATTTTGACAAGCTCCTTGGCAGCCTGCTGAGCTGGATGTCCCAGATGCCTAAATATTTGGGGTAAGCAGAGCTTCCCAACCTGTGTGCAGGAAACCCTCGTGATGATGCCCTGGCTTCCAGCTTGTGGACAGGACCAAGGGCATATGAGGCTGCCAGGAAAGGCACAGCTCAGATTCCCCTCTCCAGCCTTTCTCACTCCGTAAAATGCATTCTTCTGACCTCTTATCCCTTCTCATTAAAGCTGTCTCAGCAGTAGATGATTTTTGGGCTGCTTCCCAGTGGCTCCGCTTACATAGTCCACTCACTTGAGCTGCATTGCTAAATATTACTATGACACACAGGTTAGGAAATCAGCTTAAAAATAAAGGTGAATGAAATCAGGCATGCAAGAAATTAGAAGCATGAACCCGGAAACTGAACTGAGAGTGCTGTGAAAATTTAATCTTAGGGACTTCTTTATTTTGCCGGAAAGAAGATTTAACTTTACAGATACGCAAAGCAAATACGTTCAACTTAATAACAAGTTACTGCAAGCTGTGTCTCCCCAGCTTTCATCACCTCTTGTACAAATAAATTACAGTATGGTTTATTTTGGGTATTTGCTTGCCTTTTTTTTTTGCTGCTTAAAACAAATGCCTTGTGTAAAAAGAGATTTTTTTAATTCTCTCTAGAATGTGTAATAGAAAAAAAATCAGCCATTAGCTGTTTCAAAAAGCTCATTAGTAGACATTTTTAAGAGTCTTTTCATCTTTATTACCTTCAGTCTTCATCCACTGTTCATTCCTCTTTTAATGATCGGAAACTAATGAAGGACTACAGATGCTGAAGACTTGAAATCTCTACTGACAAATATGCATGTAACCCCATTTCCACCATGTATCATCTGCTATATAGCAGCACACATTATGACAGATCTCTGTGAATACCTTTCCCACTAGTAGAAGCACATATTTTCACATCACTAAGCTGAACCAGCATCTTCTGACACTAGGAGGCTGCCTACTTTCACCAAAGGAAAACAGAGCAGTGAGCTCTGAATTGCTGCAGAGCACATCACAGATTTACCCGCACTGGTCAGAGAAAGCAGGTTCTTAAGTAAATTGAACCAGAGCTATTAAGTCCTGTTTGTGAACTGTGCCATGAAAAAAGCAGCTTACTTTCAATGCATCCACTGCAATAGATACATGGGATATATGAGGAACACCTGCCCCACTTGTGTCAGTGGCACAGATGTTGTCAACCCACAGTGCTGCTTCATCTGAGCTGCCAGAGGCATCTGTCACAGAACGACAACTGTGCATACACACACAGAGACCAGCCCCAAAATACACATTTCCAGAACTATTCTTTCAATTACAGGCAGTGACTCTGCTCTTTTCATTTAACTTGAGGTTTGCTAAACATGCAAGGATAAAACTCAATTTTTGCATTTGTTCCCTTCTCAGGGAGACTGTTCTGTGTCTCCATGACTCACTATTGGTAAAGATAATGAAGAGAAGACCTTTATTAGATGAGGCTGATGAAAAAAAAAAAAAGAAAAAAGGAACTCTCGTTCCTAACATTGTCTAAATTCTGTTCTCCTCTACAACTATTGCTCTGTGGAAGGCTTGTGGCTTTAGAATAAAGCAAGAAAAGGGAAATAATAAGGCAGGACATATGTCTGGAATCTTTAGAGCTGTGACCTGTTATTTCAGATATTCAGACTTGTCCTGAGACCCCATTTATGCTGGCAGTTTATGCACAGATGCTGGAAAAAGGTGGACCCTCATCCATGAAACTACAATCTAAATGAAATGAAGATAAACAAAACCAATGCCTGACTATCTTTTGGTAACATCTAAAAACAGAGTTGCTTTGGACATGCTTTTATTAATATTATTTGGACTGCTGCAGTAACCAACATTATCGTACACTAAGGAAATACAAACAAAAGAAGAAAATCTCTCACAATTTCTCTAACCTTAAAATTGAGCTATATGACCAAAAGAGTTAACTTGGTGGCAATGTTTTTGGTTTGGTATTGAAGCTTTAAGGCCTAGGATGTTCTGAAAGGCAGAGATCTGCAGCTTCTACTTGGCAAGCAGCTGAAATTGCAGCAATGAAGCAAATTTTGTGTAGCTGTCAAACAAGGGACCCTCTCACTGCGTTAGTTGGATTCCTTCTTTGTTGTCATTGTTCTGATCCAATTAGTCACTGATTCTAAATTAAGAGATCTGATAAGTCTGAAAGAGATACAAGGGTAACAGAAACACAAACTAAGAGTACAAGAGGAAGAATTTCTCTTTTTCTTACATTAAGTGCCTCAGTAACTCAATTACATGCTTTAATTAAACTTTAATTATACTAAAATGACAGAAAGCAATCAGAAGGAACTGTTTTGATTCAATACATGCCAGAAATATGAGAGATGGGACTGAAATAATCCAGGAATCTGTCATTATGAGCTCCCTGGGAGCTTGTTTTAGTTACTTAATATCTCAAAACATGGAAAGACCAAGTCTACAAATCTCCAACGCAGCTGTTCTCTGCTATTTCCTCTTTGCCCAGCAATTGTGAGATCACACCTGGAGTGCTGGGTCTAGTCTGGGCTCTACAGCACAGGAGAGAGTTGGATGTACTGGAGAGATTCCAGTGAAAAGTCTTGAAGGTGATGAAAGGACTGGAGCACCTCTCCAGTGAGGAGAGGCTGAGGGAACTGGGGCTGTTCACACCAGAGAAGAAAAGACTCAGTGGGGGTTACAACAGCGTATAAATATATCCAAATTGAGGGTGCAAAGAGGATGGAGTCCGCGTCCTTTCAGTGGTGACCAATGCCAGGACAAGAGTTCATAGGCACAAACTGGAACACAGGAGGTTCCATCTGAACCTCAGCAAGCACTTCTGTGCTGTGCAAATAGAGACCATTCACAGATTTAGGACTTCCCATTCAGATGTTTATTATGATGCAAGAGAATGGTTGCCAGACAGCAAAGCTTGGCACAAGGCTCATTATATCAAATATCAAACACACCCTCAGAGACAAGGCTGAGGAACTGAACAACAGATTCTGAAATGCTGAGATGTATAAAGCAGAGGTGCCCTTGACCTTCCTCATAGCAGAACTGCTGATGACACCAACAACAGAAAAACTGCTTGTCTCCAGCATAAAAAAGCACAGAATTTTTGCAAATGTATTCTAATCTGTGTGCACCTCCAGGGTCCCTGAGCTGGTACAGTGAGAAAAATACTGAGTTATGAAACATTCTGAATTACGACATATCACTGCCTACATCTCTGACTACTGATTTGCACATATTTCTATGTTAACTAAAACCCAACTTATCTATCTCTTCTATACTGGCTTGTCTCAGTTCATCAAAGGAAAAAAACTACCTTTTTAAATGTAAGACAAGAAGAAAATAGAACTAAACATACTAGTCCAAAGAAGACTCCATGATATGTCTGTGCTGTATGGTATGTCTATACTGCCCAATGCAGCTGAGATCCTCAGGCTGCTGCCAGAGCAGGTAGCCCAGACATCAGACCCGGCACAATCATGGTAAGGCAGAGCATCGTGGACGATGATTTATCCTGAAACAAACCAGCTGTAGTGTTTCCCATTTCTCATCTAGGCATGCTGAACTGGCTTTGATGTCTGTACACTGAACAGCACTGGAGCTAGAGAACAAAATATCTGTTTTATTAAACCTCAAAATGAAAGCATGATTTTTTGTTACATAAAAATTACCTTCTTCGATGTTTGAGTAGAACACTTCCTTACTAAGTAAATTATATGATTGACCACAGTGAACAAAAGAATATTTGTCACATCACATTTAGGTGATTTTATAGGTGAATTTATAATTAGTGAATTTATAATTAGTACTGCTTATTTATTACCATCTTTAACCCCTTTTTATCTCTGCACTAGAAAACTTACACAGAGCTGAGGCTCCAGACATGTGAATCCTGCTTTATCACATGCTAGCAGTTCTCAGTTTCTGATGACATTAGTCTAAGCACACTGATTTTTATACTGATTTTAAAGACCTGACACACATCAGTACTTTACAAAAATCTGTAATTACTAAGTCTCATCTTTTGTACCAGTAAGAAGAATTAGATGAAGGTGGTCAAGAACTAATGTGATTATACTTGCAGAACAGCTGTGAAGAGACTTCAGTTTCAATTCATGTATTTATTACCACAGAAATGAATTAGATGCACTTACAATTCTAATCTGAATGTTACAATAACACCAGTTTTACCTGATTTTGATTTAGAAATAGATTTAAACTAAATAACCTTTTCACTGGCAGAAAACAGCAGCCTTTTCATCAACCAGACATGGACATTCTCATGTTCCACAGTTTAGTTAGTAGTTACAAAAAATTTCAGAGAATCACAGAATGGTTTGGGTTGAAAGGGACCTTAAAGACCATACAGTTAACAACCCCTTCCTGCAGTAGGGCTGCCACCCACCAGCTCAAGCTGCCTAGAGCCCCATCCAACCTGGCTCTGAATGCCTCCAGGGATGGGGCACCCACAGCTTCTCCAGACAAACTGTTCCAGTGCCTCACCACCCTCTGAGTAAAAAATTCCTCCTAGTATCTAATCTAAATCTCCTCTCTTTTAGTTCAAAACAATTCCCCCTTGTTTTGTCACTATCTTCCTGTGCAAAGTTGGTCTCTCTCCTGTCTATAAGCTCCTTGTAAGTACTAGAAGGCTGCAATGAAGTCTCCCCAGACCATTCTCCTCTCCAGACTGCACAAGTCCAGCTCCCTCTGCCTTCCTTCTCAGGAGTGGTGCTTTAGCCCTCTGATCTTTGCTTCTTCTGGACCTGTTTCATTAGCTTTGTTGTGCTGGCACCCCAGACCCGGACACAGTACTCCAGATTGGGCATCAGGAGTGAAGAGTAGATGGGGAACAATAAAATTTACATTTCATTTCTTAATAATTTTCCTTTCTTCATCTATTCCCCCAGGCTGACAATAAACATCACCAGACAATGGACAATCAAGGCGTTCTATTCCCATTTTCTCTGTTTTCCCTATTCTCAGACCAGGATTCATCATCTATGCTACTCCACTCCAGAGCTAGCCCTTTGGCATCAAGCTTTCACTCTAGGTTATTAAGAAAACTAATGAGCACACAAGCTTTCCATCAGCTCATGGCTTTCTCTTGCTCCTTGCCCTACGATTATCATTTGACAGCAACTCAGTAACACACAGCATCAGGCAATGCAAAATACTCTTTGTGTAAACTGTCCTATTCTCTCCTTCCCTTGCTTCCCATTCATCTTCTGTGTTTTTCATTTGGTTTCCTCACTGCCCTAGTTTAGTTCTTTTTCATCCATCTGATCATCTATTTTCCTGCCCTACATTTCTCCCAGTCTCTTCCAATCCTCAAAATTATACACGCAATTTGGGAGAGCTTTGAAAGCAAGACATTCAAATGACTTTGATACCCAACAAATAGTCTTATTTAACAGGCAAACACTGTCTCAGATGTAGAAGCAAAGTGAAAAACACTGCTTCAGATAGGTTTGCACTCTTCAAATTCTTAGTTTGTTCCTTTTTTTAAGCTATATGAAGAAAGGAATTTTAACAAGAAGTTAATGTGCTTAATAAGAAAGTTAAAAACATTCATGATCAGGATTCCTTGAAACTACTTTCTAGGGAGATAATATTCTCACAAATTTTACTACACTTTCTTGCTTCCAAATATCCCTTTTCATTTTTCTTGATGTCATAGACTAAATCCCTCACTCCCACTATCTTCCCACATCTGTATCTTATTTTTCCTGACAGCCTTTTTTAAAGGTTATATTCAGGTCAGCATCCCTGGCAAGAAATGGATGGTGTTTGTACAACTTGTAAGTTCAGAAGCAATGCACACCACTAACATCAATGGCATATGCCCAAGAAGACTGAAGACCTAAGGTATTAAACAAACCTATTCAGAAATAAACATTACAATCTCTTTAGTATTTTCACAATTTTCATAAACAGAAAGCATTCTGAAACACTAAATTCTGAGCAATGTATACAGCATATTAGTGTTTTCCTTTGAAAATTGCTGAAGTCCATTCTAACATATTTTCCCATCCATTAGAGAGGTGAGTTATTGCATAGGCTTCATTACAAACTAGATGTAAAAAAGAAGGACCACACAGTATGTGCTCATACTATAATATCATATCCCAATTTGATTGTGCGGATTCTTCAGAACATCAGCCATCAGCAGCATTTACATTTTGTTACCAGGTTTATTGGAAAACTCCAGTGATTCAAAGGTACTTACCCAGTTGTATAAGGTATGTTTATCCCCCCTAGATTAATGCTTTCACATCCAACAATGAAGAGAGTTGAAAAACACAGCAAAGACACACCACTGCAGATCATGGCCAGCTTTGCAGACTCTCTTGCACCAAGTTTCAGTTTTTTGATAATGTAGCCACCTAGGACAATACCAACACCAGCACTTGGAACAATTATTACACCTGCCAGGAAGAAATTTGAGTGACATTAAAACAGGACCTACATAATAGAATAAATAAATAACATAGCATATATTATATAGCATAAATAATAACATAAATAGCATAAATAGCATAAATAATAACATAGTATTTGTTTAGTTCCCTAACTAGATGATTACAAATGTTGCACTAAGATCTCCATTGTCTGATTCTCTGCTAGCTAGCAAACTGAGTCAGACTTTTCTGGAGCGTTGTCCAAGAATTAATAAAAGCTTCCTTATGATATTACCAGCAGCCAAAGCACTATAAGAGAACTATTGTATTAACAAGCAGAAACATTGCTTTGTATTTATTTTAGCATGCAGATAAGGGATACACATTGCTCCTAATCACTAAAAATGTGAAGAAATCCAAATTTGGACATTCATCCTCCTCTTCCTACTCTCATGATTAAGTCCAGTAAGGCATAGATGCTAACCTAGGGCAGAACCCCTGAAGCCTGTCCACCTGGCAGCACATGCATGCAGCTGGCTGAGAGTTCTGCGTTGTGGTAGCTTGGCTCGAGTGAAACAGCGCCTTCCTACATCAGAAACCCCATTCATTTCAGTGCAACCACTCAATGTGTCAACTGATCAAACGTGAATGAAGAAATTGAGATCCTAGAATCAAACACTGTAGTTTAAGATACAAAATACGTGTCTATTAAGTTTCTGTCATTGCTGCTGCTGCTTTATGGTGGCTGTCTGGCAGTTATGTCACAGGGCTGTCCTTACTTCCCAGGGCCAGAGGTATAGTCAAGTGAGAGAATTTCTTTCAAGCTTCTCCTTGGCTTTGCTTCCCAGTAACACAAGAGAAATAAGGTCTTTGTTAATAAAGGTATTCTATATAAATACAGAATTTGAATAACTTTTGGCAGCATTGTCTAAGGAGAAAGAGCTACGTTAATTATACAAATTCTTAAAGAATTTGTCTTGTTTCTAAAGAAGCCTACAACTATTACTTCAAAATATTTTTAATAATACTGCAAAGCATTCTCATTCTCTGCTAATTTGTCTAAAGGTAAAGGAGATATTACATTTATTAAAATTTTGAGACTGTGAAAGTAAAAATAAGAGGTAAAAATAGTTGCCACCTGAATTATACTTCATCACCAATGGCATTATAAAGTGTCATTTCATGAGGAAGATTCTTAATAACAACCCTTCACAGAATCAAAAAGTCTTTCTCAAAAGAACAGAACTCAAATTTCTAAGTCCTTTGAGGAGAATTAAATTATTTTCACAGAGTTCAAAGCTGTAACCTCTCCCAAGTTTCCATGACTGAATATGAACCAGGGAAAGAAATGCCAATCCTTTTGCTGCCTCTGAAAATCTTCTCTTTAGATGAAAGTGGGAACTCACACATGTAAGCCTGCCGTGCTACAAGAAGCCCATGTGCCCACCAAACATAGACTGAAATTGCTTGTGATATCTTCTAAAACAGCTGTGTCAGATGAATCAAATTCCATTGACCAAACTTTGGCTATACCAGTTACATGAACTAAGGCCAGGTATAGGCTTACTGAATGTAATCTTTTCTATTTTTCCTTCCACCTTACATAGCTTTGAGTTTTTAACATCTTTTGGACCAGAATTTATATTTTCTGTCTTATTCTCTTGAATGTACTGGAAAAGCCTTTCATTAGAACCAACATCATGTGCATCCAGCACCTTGGCGAAACTAAACATGTATGTATTTTGTGAGGAATTAAGTTAGTGGGTCTTCCATTATGAGTCATTCTGCGCTTCTGTTTGCAGCCATCTTTTGCCACACCATGAAAAACAGAACATAAATAAGAGGAGATGAGCATGAACAAACTGTCCACCAAGGCTGCCTCTCATTCAGGAAGGCAAAAAAGTAAAGCCAAACCTACAGAAACGACATAAAGAAATATTCCTCCATGCAAACTGGCACAGGGGATGGAAAAAACTTTCTGTGGGAGAAACTTGAAGGGCAGGAGCAGATTTAGCAGCAGACAGAAGCACTCACTCCTCTCTGTGTGTCAGGAAGCCTGAGAAGTTCTTTTGCCCCAAGCTCAAATTCTTCATCCCTGCGTTCCTTTCCTCCTCTGCAGGGGATGTGAAATCAGAAGTGATATACTGTCAAAGGCACGCTGCTACTATAGTGCACTTCCAGAAGAGCTTGCAGGGCAAAGCCAAGCATGTACATCTAATCAGGACAGGCATTCTTCATTTTCAAAGCCATTTAGAAGAATAAAGCTTAAGATCTGATATAAGCCGTTGCACTGCACTTTCCTTCATTTCATAATGACAGTTTGGCTTACAGGAATTGTGCATGTGCCAAAAAATCTCCTGGGTACAGTGCTCCAAGGCAGTATCAGCTTTCAGTCAGCAATTTTCAGGCTTTGTCCTTTTTGCTGTTGTCAGGATGCTGCAGCACTTGAGGCTTTCCACAGTGGCAAAAGATGATCTTAACAGTTACTAATAGTCTGCTAACAGAAAACTGCAATATCTGCTAACAGAGCTGTACTTCCAAAGGGAATAGCATAGAGATTTTCAAAGCGATTCTGTTTGAGATACACGCTACATCTTTCCTAAAACTAATGGTAGATCCAACCTATTTGTATTCATTTTAGCAGAAGTTGCATAGGAACTCATGGTACTTCTCTAATGCTTCTCCTCCACACTCTAGAGAGACTCTGGATTTTTTCCACAAACTGTAGGTGACAAATGATTCCCATGTGTCTTACAGACTTGTCCCCCTTTCTCTTGCTGCCTTTTTTCTTCTCCTTGCACCTCACCTTCACTCCCACAACTCACTCTCCACCCCACTGCACCTTGTCAGGCGTATTATCTGAAAGAATGGAGGAACAGAGAATTAGCAATGAACAGCTATTCTGTGAGTAAGGAGAAGGCAAAAAGATGCTTAGAAAAGGAAAAGAAGAGATGGAGACGAGTGCCTCTGATGTAGCTAGGAGAGAAGGGTGATGATCTGCATGCCATAGATATGACTCTGAACAAGAATTTGGCCCCTTGCTCTAGGGAAGCTGCAGCTGAAGGCCATCCCTCTTTGCTACAGAACTGACACTCCCAAACTGAAGGAGGCATTGGATTTAGCCGCACACTGCAGCAGCAGAGGAAGTGGCACAGCTGCAAGAGCAGGGCCCCAGCAATATCAGGGCCCGGGGAGCCATCCCGATTAGGCCGTGTTGCTGGGTGCTCGGTGGTGGCAGAGACATGGGGAGAAGGGCACAGGCACCTGGGGGGAAGATGAGGAAGGGAAGGGGAGGGTGGATAAACAGATGGTCCCCAGGGAGAAAAAAAGGCTAGCACATTTTCAAGATCAAAAAGGAAGTAAAATTCACATCAAATAACAACACGTAAGAGACTTTCAAGCCACACACATCACAGTAACGCTCCTGGGTTTTCTAGTTTGCTTTTCTTGCTTTTTTTTTCCCCTACAGGCTATTAACGTATTATAAAAGGTCAGTGTCTGCACACACAAACACTGAAGAGCCTTCAAACAATTTAAATTGGTTCACACTACTAAAAAAAAAAAATATAGCAAGCATCAACAAACAGCCTGAATACCCAAACCAGTACACAAAAATGGATCAAATCACCTTTCCTAAAAGCCATGTTTTCAGTTAATTCCTATACTGATTTATTTCATCAGCCAAAGAACGACAACCCTTGCAATGTTACACTCATTGGCAATGCCTTACCAGTGTAGATGCTGGCATTGGATGCTGGGATGCCAAACTGTGACTCGATGAACTTGGGAATGAAGGTAATAAAAGCTGTAACAATGGCACTCTCAGCTGTGTATGACAAACTCACAAAAAGGAATGTCATGTTGCTTAAGATCCTGACAGCTGCCCGTGGAAGCTCTATAAAATGACAAAAATGACAAATGAATGTTATAAATAATGAGTGAAAAACAAAAGCAAATTGGAACAAAACAAATTGATTTCCTTTGAGATGGACTGTAAATAATGGCTTGCTAGCATCTGGCTCCATTTGCTGAGCGGAAGGGAGAGTGCATATTTTGCATTGCACTCTTTGCTGTTTGTTCTTACACTATCTCACTGCATTGCCTGGGGCTGCAGTCCCATTTTTCACAAACAGAACAGAGGTCTGTTTTAACAACACTGTCTGAAGAAACAGGACCTACGCAGTAACAGTAAAGAGCAGAGAAAAAGAGTAAGAAAAAGAAGAAAATCAGGAATTGTTCTGATGTCTTCTTTTGAAGTTCTCTAGGAGATAACACACAACCTGCTACTGAAACAATACTGAATTTTGCACTCCACATGAGGAAAAACAATCCCATACACCTCTGCAGCTCTCTGCTTAAAGGACCACCATTGGAAAAGTGGGATAATATTACTATAATTTGAAAAGGAAAACAAAAGATTTCAGACTACAAGTTTTTATACATGATTAAAAAATATTTGCAGTGCATGCTGACAAAGCATACTGAGAAAATGATGTCAATATAAATGAATCTCAGTGTACATTACATATGTACAACTGCACAACTCACACAACTCTAATGTTCCCAGAAGAGATAAAATAATCAATTAAAAATGAGCACATATCGTTAGCTTAAATTTAAAAACCATTCACATCTGTTGTAATTACCCTCAAATCAAATATCAAAACCCCATGAAATTCAGAACTGTCATTATAAGAAGCACTTGAATACTTCTAATCCAGTCCTATAGTGATATCAAGTTACCATCACAAAATGATGATAACTCTATTTAAGAGTTAATTTTTTCAGATTACATGGCATAATTTTTAAATAATGGTTGGGTTTTCTTCTCCTGGGGCTAATACCAAGATCACATGTTGTGTCCAACCATGACAAGTATATTCAGCCCAATAAGATCTGAGTTTTTTCATTAACTTTTCACAAGAACTGAACACTGCCTGAACCAGAGCCCACTGAAGTCAATGACACGACCATTCATTAGAAATAAACAGCTGAATAAGTGCAGAACAGCAAAACTGCTGTGTGAGAATGTTACTGATGTTAAAAGTCATCAAATCAAATCTGTGTCACTTACTCCATGGACTTCAGCAGGTTATGCATATAAAAGCAAACAGAGTTTAGACTCCTGTCATGTCAAAACTTGTTAGACTGCAAATTAGCACTGCGGTTGTCTGATTGCATCCAGTCTTAGCTTATGCCAGTTGTCAAAAATTATACTGATTTCATTGTGCAAACAGAGTTTATCATTTTAATGTAGTCAAATGCTCTCTTGCTGCCTCTATGAAGAAAAATACTAAATTTGGTGGAAATAAGTAATGAATAAATCTTATTAAGAAGCACTCATATATTTGAATCTTAACATTTTTGATCACTTACTGCTTTTTTTTTTAAATTATTATAGCACCGTTTACAATAGTATAAAAGAGAAAAAAAAGGGAAAACACAAGTATGTGGCAATACAATATCACTGTGAATATATGGGAGCTTATGATACAGCTGTACATCAGCTGAAACTGCATGAGAGTAGCAAGAACAAAATGAAACTTTATCAGTATTTATTATTAGATATAACACATTCAAAATACAAATGATCAAAATGAATCTCATTATTCAAGAGGAAATGAAAGAGAAAAAACATCAAAGGTGTAAAAAAGCATTAGTCATCAAATCTCACCAGATTTTGCTTTTATTTTGGGGTTGGATTGCGTTGGATTAGCCAGTGAGGGCACAGATGCAAAAAGAAACCAAAGAAACAAGAGCCAAGATGCTTTTGCAAAGCCTCTCATGGGGCAAGATGATGCAGTTTAAGAAAATGGCTGACACAGGACAGCTGCTGCAACATTTCCCTAGGGACGTGGCACGGGACTTATTGCCATTCCCAAGAAACGGCAGCAAGTAGTTATAATTGTGTTGTTGCCACTGGATGAAAGGAATCACAAAAGAGAGTGCCAGGATTGATTTTGCTGAAAACTGAGCTACTGAGTGTTTTGAAACATGGGCAGCAGCACTCAGCTCTCACTGTGAGATGACAGAAATGGTGGCAGTGAGACCACAAGCTAAGTGAGGCAGTTCATTACAGCAGAGCCAGAGCTAACAAATGCAGGATACCAGCCGTAAACAAACACATCTTCATCTACGAGGTCTTTTCTCTCATATGAAGAGGAATGAAGAACAAAAAGAGTAAAAACTTTGCTTAGGAAAACCAAATAAACATCTTCTAAGACTCCATGTTGGCCCCTACCGGCTTCTTTGTGTGTCAACACTGGCTGAGCAAGAATAAAATTTTCCATTTTCAGATGCAGAAAATAGATGAGACATCTCTGTTCACAGAATCACAGAATCACCAAGGTTGGAAAAGACCTACAAGATCATCCAGTCCAACCATCTACCCATCACCAATAGTTCTCACTAAACCATGTTCCTCAACACAAAATGCAAACATTCCTTGAACACCTCCAGGGTCGGTGACTCCAGCACCTCCCTGGGCAGCCCATTCCAGTGCCTGACCATTCTTTCAGAAAAGTAGTATTTCCTAACGTCCAGCCTAAATCTCCCCTGGTGCAGCTTGAAACCATTCCCTCTAGTGCTATCACCAGTTACGCAAGAGAAGAGGCTGACTGCAGCTCACCACAACCTCCAATCAGGTAGTTACAGAGAGCAGATGTTTCTTCAGCTCTACCTTCTCTGCCAAAGTTGTAGCAAATAAAATTTTAAAAAAGATACACTACTGAAAACTTTTTACAAAAGTGAAGGTGCCTGTTCACTAACAGCGAATGGCATTAGTTTCAGCCATGCTGGCATCTACTGCAATGTCTGGACTTTGTGACTATTAGGATGGTGTATGATATATATGTATAAACATAAAATTGTTATAAACAACCCAAAAATATTCAGGAAGAAAATAGCCTTTCATGTTTCAACCTCATAATAACGACCTAGCTTAGCAGTTGGTGGAAGAGTGGCTTTGAGTAAGTCTGATAAAAGGCTTTGTATAGCAGAGAGCTGTTCACTTGTGCTGGATAAATGCAGAAGAAAGACAATAGCAACTTTCAGAAGGTTGGACTCTACAGAGAGAAATGTCATTTAATTATGATGATGAACTTAGTGGTCTTTGCAGAAACGGAAAGTCTTTAGCCCAGAACTTAAAGTCCAAGATTTTTTCTAAATCCGTAATTTCAAAGGATCATAATACTTGCTAAAGTTTAGCTCTTTCTGAAAAAAATTGAACTTTGCAAGAATGTATGATTTAGAATTTTCAGTCTAAAGATACTAAAGAAATAATTAGGTAAACAACTGCAGAGCTAATGAACATTTTGCTCTGGCATTCTGATGTAGAGCTGTGCTTTCTGTTAACTCCTACTTATATTTTTCAGGGTACTAAGCACCTAGCCTAAAGGTCATTTCTAATTTGAAAACTAATTAGTTCATTTAAGATGGATTTGTACTGCTAAATAGATAAAAATTAGAGTGCCTTGGAACAAGCACAAGTTCTCTTAAACTCACGTGAAAGATTCTCCAGGGAACAGTTCTGATTATTTTAATTTCTGGCAGGAAATAAAACAGAATATGCAGCACTAACACAGACCACCTGCAGCAACTCAGGCTTGGAGCTCTTTGCGATTCCTGAACGTATAAGGAGAAGTTATTACACATGAAGAATCTGGCAAATAAAAATACTTTCATGGAATTCAGTTTTCTCTGTTTTCCTCCTACGATTACAGTAAAATCCTATGCAACAGAACTCCTGAATCTAAAAGCTTGTGATAAAAAGGCACAATAGTCTCACATCTTCCAACCACATTAATTCCAATAAGAAGCAAGAAAGATAAAATCTTTAAAGGCTCTTTGTACTATATAATCAATCATGCATTTAAACCATTTCAATGTCACATTATTTTTGCGTGACTAGCTGTAGGCCTACTCTTTCATCTCAAGGTCATTTTTAAACCTGTCAAGTTCTGATTTTTAGGAGGCCTTCGAAAACCATCTCTCATTTTTCCAAGTGTGTAGTAAAAACAAACCTCATTCTGTCATTTGAACAAATAAGTCTCTGCCAATTACATTCCTGAAACTGAAACAATCATTTAGTATGTCTGCAAATACGTTTACTCTACTGTGCAATAATTCAAATCTTAACATTTTTCTTTTTTTCTTTTTTCTTTTTTTTTTTTTTTAATAACATAGTATGTAACTAAACATGAATTGGAACCTGCCTTGCTGGACTCATTTGAGAGTCTAGTAGCACTTTTCTTCCCCTCCTGCTCTCTGAAAATATGTTATCTCTAGTCAGTATCCATTTTCTTTCACTGGAATGGTGGACCACTACTTGATTGATGGATAAGCCTATGAAAAATCTGGAAGCAATAGAATTATTTGTAAATGTTGCTCTAAACAAAACTCTGAAAGAATGGAAACAGGATTCTAATTAAAGAAAAGCATTAATTCCAACTTCAGCTCCTTTGTAATTCATTTTATTTTATTTTAGCCTGGTTCCTTTACCAGCCAAAGGTAGTAGAGTGAATACAACCGGGGGAATAAAACATCCAGCTCTATAGCACCATCCTCTTGGTGCTACAAATATCCATGGTTTTGTTTAACAGAATGGAAATTAACACTTTCAATCACATGCGACTCTTTGCTTTCCAGCAGCTTCTCAAACTCCGGCTAATGCTGCTCATCACTGCAGGGCTGTGACATTTTCTACTTTTGAGTTCTCCAGGATGACACAAGCCAGCAGCAGGGGGAGTGATGTGCTTAAGGTGAGTGGCATGGCAGGTAACCCAGCCCTTGGTCTCCTGAACTCTGACATTTAAAGGGCTCACTTGGGCACACATCCCAGCATCCCCTCCTCTTGTGCTGATTCTCTCTGACTGCTCTTGGGGCACTGGGGAAACTTCAGCTGGTTTCCTCAGGGGAGCACTTGAATACTTTACATCCCCAGGAATTTCTTTTACCTTTGGTGATATCCTGACAAGCATTATTATCCTGTCTCAAGCCCTGGTAGGGACTGACTGCGAATGGCACAACAGCTAGGAGACACAAAAGACAGACAGGGAAATTGCACGTGGGCTGGGCTTGCAGATAACATGGGTTTACTTATTGGGAGGAAAAATTAAAAATAAAATTTAAAAAGTAGAAAATGTATGGAAGTAACGCCTCTTAGTTTGGAACAGAATATTTCAGATGAGTAATATACGCATTTGCTTTATTTAAACTGCTCCTTTACCCAATTGCACAGTAAGCTTCATTATAGTGGTAAGTAAAAGGGACTGCAGAGAGTTTCCATGGTACAAAACCCTAAGGGTATCCACGTAATAAGTGAAAACAGTGCTTCTGTTTACTTAAGTTCATGATTAATCTGCATGTATGGGATTGAATTATGGCTTCTTTATCATATCTCTTCTCTGTCTCATATTATTCATACTACCTCAATTTCTCCCAGTAAGCAAAACCCTCTCTTACAACCTATTTAATGCTTTTGATACTTGCCTCAGAAGCACTCTCCTTCATATTGCTTACTTGTAACATAAATAGAAAAGATTGAATTCCTGCTCCTTGTGTCTTGAAACATGGGAAAATCAAAGGTGGATTTTTATCTGATCCCAGGTCTATGGACCAAAATAAAGCCAAGGTCACTGAAGTTGGAGGGCACTTGCAACAGGAACCAATCCTGTCCTACATCTTCAGTCTATCCTGGCATCCACTTCAGGAAAAATAACCCTAGCCCTCTCCTATCACAACTTATTAATTCCTTTTCATTCACATAACAAATTAATTTACATGAAATTAGGACAAATTACAGCAGGACAAAGCTTCCCAGTTAAGACAATGTCCGATCAGAATATCCAATTACAGTTTCTTCCATGAGAGATGTCCTAGCAAAGATGCACAGATTTTACAGGTTAATGGCACTGACCTCTGTCATGACAGACTAGGACATCACTGATATTTGTTAGTACAGAATGGAAGATGTGACCTACTAAATCACCAGAGTTCCGGCTACTGCCTAAGTGGAGTTTTTGCCTAACATTCTATAAAAAGAGAAAGCCCTGAAATTCAGTGGGAAGTATAAATTGAACACTGCATCTCAGAAGGAGCAATGCTAAATGACTTCGACACGTGATTATTTCTCCTTCCCATTATAAATGAAATTACATCAACTGAGAAGCTTGAGGCATGATGTCATTCCATAAAGCCCACTTAAACTTGAAAAATAATTAAATGATAGCGCGCTCCTGCCACAGACTCTTTTTGCTAAGGTAAATGACACCTAATGGAAAAGCTATTATCAGCTTATAGGAAAATACTTTCCTCTGTGTTATCTTGACTCACTTGGCTCCTTCTGACATGTGGAATACAATGCTGTTTTTCAATGTTCCACACTCTGAAGTTTCTTCTTCAGAGAAAATGGAATGTTTTGTACATAAAGGAGCTCTAATTTGGTAGCATAATTAATATTGTAACCAAGGACACTGTTAGTAGAAGGTATGGTACGCAGTTAGGCTGATTCACACTTTAGGAACATACAACATGACCTGGAAGGTGAAATTACGTTCAGAGATAGAGAACCCACAGCAGCAAACTCATCCAGATGCAGGGTTTGACTGACAGCCTGTATCTTTTCCATGCACACCTATGGGCTAAAGCAGACCCTCTGCTGTGTGACCTGAAATTGTTAGGAAGAAGCCCATCAGGGACTGATATGTTTCCCACTTCCCTAGGTTAGTGAGAAAATCTTGAACATCAAAAGCCAGAACTGCTTTTGATATACAAAAGCCTCTAAGATTGAATTGGGAAAAAAAAGAAAGGGAAAAAAAAAAGGAAAAAAAATAAAAACACAACTAGCTTCATGGATTTAGGAGAAAACATTACACACAAGGACTAGTATATAATGTGGGAATACCATTTTTAAAGAAGGAAGTACATAACATGCTTTTCTCACATTTCTATCACTTTTAGAGCCATTCTATGCAGATTACTGGACCAGGAACCAGTATCTTACACTAAGAGACAAACAGAGAACGTAGTTCTGAAATTGATACTGGAGATATACTTTACTCACTCTGTGCCTTAAAAAGATTTTGTTTTGTATGTTAATACAACAATATAAGTAAATTATAGTCTCAACACTCGTTTCTTTTTTACTTCTATAGGAGCTAATAGTAACTTCAATTACCCTGGGAGTATATATATAAATGCAACATAAAGGAAACCAATATGCGTGTGAGCAACCAATAGAATTACAGTAGTTTGAGTATTGCTAGGATTTGTTCATTCAATATAAGGAGTGATTATTAACCCACCATTGAAATATCTATCAGTCATAGAAACACAAAATGGTTTGGGTTAGAAGGGACCTTAAAGATCATCTAGTTCCAACTCCACTGCTGTGGGCAGAGTTGCCAACCACTTGATGGGGCCCATCCAACCCGGCCTTGAACGCCTTCAGGGATGGAGCATTCACAACTTGTCTGGGTAGTCTGTTCCAGTGCCTTACCACTCCCTAAGAATATTCTCATAACACCTAAATCTTTCCTCTTCTGGTTTAAAACTATTCCCCCTTGTCCTATCACTGTTCATAAGTTTTCCTCAAGTGCTGGAAAGCCACAGTGAGGTCCCCTCAGCACCTTCTCCAGAAGGAACAAGCCCACCTCCCTCAACTTTTCTTCATAGGAAAGATGCTCCAGTCCTCTGATCTGTACTTCCTATGGACCTGTTCCATTAGCTCAGGATCCCAGGCTTAGATGCAATACAAGTCCAGATGGAGCCTCACAAGGGCAGAATAGAGGGGGACAATCACTTCCCTCACCCTGCTGGCTGCTTCTATTTTGAAGCAGCCCAGGATACTGTTGGCCTTACGGGCGCAGGTGCATATTGCTGGCTCACATCAAGCTTTTTGTCTACCAGAACCCCCCAGCCCTTCTCCACATATCTAACTGTCCCACCCTAGTGCAACAATGATACATATGCATAAAAATGAATACAAATGATTTCGTATGTCAAATGATACATTAATTTTGTGATTTCTCTTAGTTCCATTTGCATTAGAACGTCATAAAGATGGCACAGCCAGCATTCATATAATGAAAGCAAAGGTGGGCAAAACAACATTGTTAATACAGTGGCATGAAGGTTCATTTATTCTTGTCCTGTACTATTCAAGATGACACTCTAAATTTCTAATTTATTTGCTTTGTACCGATTCATTTTTAATACAGTGCATTTCTTCCTATGGCATTTTATCAATCATTATTACTGGCTGTCAAATTTCACGTTAAGGTTTTACACTTTGAATAAAGTAAAAATCACGTTACTTGTCAACCCTTTCAACTCGTGTCATTTCAGAATTAGCACAGATTTAATTCATCCTAGCCATCAAAAAATAAATAGCCTGCAACACACAACAGCGGGGAAATGCATGAGAAATAAAATAATCTGTTCCAGTTAACTTGCTTAAATACATGAAGGTAATTTAACTCACTTACTAGAGTTCTTTTTACTTGTTTTGCTTCTTTTTCAGAAGAGCCTTTCTTGTATGAAGAATAGCTTACGCAAGTATGACAGTAGCATACAGCAAGGTATACAAAAATGCCTGGTAATGGAGGCCATACAGTTATATGACAAACAGGAAAATCATATAACTACAGCAAACAGAGCACCTATTTGTCACTAGTGCATGTAAACACTTCAATAGTGTATTTCTTCCCTCACAACTGCACTTCACAACTTTAAAAGACCATCAGTAGCAAAACATAGCATTAAATACAACAGGTAAAAATTCTGCCTCCAAATACACTTCATACAACCCTAGAAGATGAACCTGTACACAAAATGTAAAGCATTTAAAACTTAAAAACAACCTCACCTTTAACATTCTTTCCAAATCCCATAGAAGCAGGAACTGCACTGTCTGCTTGTATTTTGCTATTTGTTTTCTCTTTCATGACTTCATCATCACTTGAAACATCATCAGAGTTCATTTTCTTTTTCTTTTTCTTTTTTTTATGTCGAGGAGGAAGCTTTTTTGGAAAGGTAAACATTGGAAATATCACAAGGAGCATTGCAATGGCACAAAGAAGAAATCCACTCCACCTAATGCCAGAAGATAGGAACAGAAATGAAAGGCAATACATTACATGAAATAAATATACCAAAGTGATTATTACAGACTGTACTAGCAAGAAGGACATCTTTGCAAAATACACAACACTGAAATTAGAGTAAATTAATGGAGTGGAGAGGATCCTTCACTGTGTTAAAGCACTTAATTAGAAGACTTTTCTGTTGGCTTTTCTACGGATAAAGGTATTTATCTAGCAACCACCAAGTGGTTTATGAAATAGGGTCAGCTTCGAATTCCTGTATATTTCTACTTCTGATAATTATTCAGTACTAAATCCAGAGAAGGAGATGTTCACTTTTACTTTGCCTTTCTTAGATAATTTGCAGTAAAGCAATACAGCATTCCTCTGGAGAACAAAAAAATTTATCTTTGGCATTAACCATGATATAATGTCCAAATTGACATATCAAAGCTAAATCTGTTCTGCTTTCCAGTGCCTACTTTTCACTGCACTGACTGTTCAGCTCTCTCTCTTTCCAACGAAAAGCTCCTCAGAAGTCACCCTTGAATTCTTCCAATGTATTGAAAGTGCGATTTTCATTAGACACTATTCTACTCTGCACTAGTACCTAGAACATTCATTGAATTCAGCCACATTACTCCAATATCCAAACTCAACAACAAAAGTCTGAAGCTCTCTGATTTCATATCACAGTGCATAGGTGAAATCTTATGTTTTTGCACATCTTTTACACTTAAAAAAGGAAGCTACTCCAGGAAGCTAATAATTAAATATTTGTGCAAATTTTAAACATTTAGAAGTCCAAGATAGACAGGATTACTTGCACAATAAACAGAAATGTTTGGCAACACTTTCGCAATGCAGAGATATTACAAACTGTACCATTAAATAAAGGTCAATTCATATGCATATATAATGGTTATGCAAAGTTAAACACCAAACAAACTTTCACATGTAACACCATTTTTGTTAGAAAGATTATGCAAGGAGCTATTCTGAGGCAAATCTAAGTTACTGAAAGTTTTCACTTGTTTTGATATTACATAAACAGAAAATCTTCTATTGACTCATTTTAGCTAATAGAATACATAGGCTAGAAACCACACTTTCAGGAGGATCAATCAGCACTATCAGGTGGGGAATAAATTGGTAGACTGTATAAAAATGCAGTAACACCCCTTTCAGGATCTCAAAGGCAGAAGCTGCATTGATCAAAGAAACAATCTGTGGCAATAATATGCAGAAATCTGAAGCCACTCAGTGGGAAACAGCAAAGGAGACAAGGCCTTGTGATGTATCGTGAGATAAAATTGAAATCCAAAGGGATCTGTATGGAAGCATACCAAGTGCTGGAGATGTCACAAATGCAGCACTGTATGTAATTATGTGCACTGTCTACATTTCACATCTTCCTGGAGAAGTATCAAAGAACTGGAAAACAGACAAAAGAATATATAAAAAATAATAGACACCTACGATAGAAAATGAGAGGTCAGAGTAGGATCTACAGGTTAATTAAAAAGCCCTTGATTTCCTGTGTTCTAAAGTCAAAGAAAATATGCAGTGGAATACCTCAAAGGCATCTGCAGAAATCCAAAGACCTCAGATAAAAGCAATTAAAACTTGGGGAGGACCAGACAGTGCTGAAGGAATTCCTTTAAACTTCTTGCGTGGAATGATGATGAAAGACAATGTGAGAAGTTCCAAGTATTAAACAGATTCAGAACTAGGCAAACAGAAAAGTGTCAGCAAAAGAAAAGTTGATTCAAAGCACTTGACAGACCGCCAAGGGCTACTCCACAACTAACGAGATCCCTATATAGCACATTAGCAATTTTTAAAGACAACAACATGACAAATGATTTCTAACAGATGTCCACAGTTACCACACTTGAATAAAAAGCAGTTTTCAATATTTGATACGATGACAAAGACAGCTGGCCTATAATTTAGTCCAGAGCACCTACAAAAACCCAGGTGTGTAAATCCAAACTGTGCAAAACAAGGAAGAAACAGATCAGAAATAACCCCAAAAGCAGCAGTTACTTAATCAGGTCTGACATGAGATAAAGTTGCCCATCCAGAATACATGCAAAATACTTCTTAGAAAGGAACAGCTTAAGTAAAAAAAAAAAATAGACCTCAGAGCAATTCTTATTGCCATATATCACAGCTGCTTTACTTACTATCTTGTCTGTAATGATAACCTGCTTTAATAGTGGAATTTTTCCACTGGTCCCTGTGATAAGTAGAGTGAGAAACCTTGCAGCTGTAATAAAGAAAAGATGAAAATCAAAGACATTAATTCACTTCAAAGAAGACATGGCTGAGAAATCTCAAATATGAATGGCCATTAACTTATCTCAACTGCACCCTACTTTTGAAAAGCACTTCAGCTCTCTGAAGTCAGCACTAGACTACTCTTACATTTCAAATTTTTAGATTGCATACATAAAAACAAACTTGGCTACGCAGCATTTCCCTGCAAGGAGAAAATGTCACAGTCCCAGAAAATAAATTTCAATGGAATGAAAATCAACACTTCCAGAGCACTCTGCAACCAGGCAATCACTGAGTAGCAAGGGACAAAGGACCAGCAGGCACACCATTAGAGTCACAGTTATAATAGAAAAAGCTTTCAAAAAAAAAAAAAAAGAAAAAAAAAAAGCAGCACAGATGCTCTGAAATCACTGAACTATCACTAGAAGCCACCACAGATCATGAAACTTAATTATGAGAGATGTGACAGCAGGCAACAATCTTAAGAAAGTTAAGAGAAAAAATATAGAGAGCCAAAACCAAAAGAATAATACTGGAACACTCTTCAATCCACAGATTTAACAAGCATGAGGGAAAAAGGAAACTTCGAGCGACTTTTCTGAGCTGGACAGAACACGACAACTATGGCAGTTGAGGTGGTTGCCGAGCCGCTCTCCATCATATTTGAGAAGTCGTGGCTGTCAGGTGAGGTCCCGGATGACTGGAGGAAGGGTCACGTCACTCCCATATACAAGAAGGGGAGCAGGGAGGACCCGGGGAACTACAGGCCGGTGAGTCTCACCTCCGTGCCTGGGAAGATCATGGAACGGATCCTCCTGGACAACATGCTCGATCACATAAAGAATGAGCATGTGATCCGAGACAGCCAGCACGGCTTCACCAAAGGAAGGTCATGCCTAACTAATCTTGTGGCCTTCTATGATGGAGTGACGGCATTGGTGGACGAAGGGAAGGCGACTGATGTCATTTACCTGGACCTGAGCAAGGCCTTTGACATGGTCCCCCACCACATCCTCATCTCCAAATTGGAGGGAAGTGGATTTGATGGGTGGACGACCCGATGGGTAAGAAACTGGTTGAAAGGCCGCAGACAGAGGGTGGTGGTCAATGGCTCTATGTCCAGGTGGAGGCCGGTAACAAGTGGTGTCCCCCAAGGGTCTGTCTTGGGACCGGTGCTCTTTAACATCTTTATTAATGACATCGATGAGGGAATTGAGTGCACCCTCAGCAAGTTTGCTGACGACACCAAGCTGAGTGGTGCGGTTGATACGGTGGAAGGAAGGGATGCCATTCAGAGGGACCTCGACAGGCTGGAGGGTTGGGCTCGGGTGAACCTAATGAGGTTCAACACGGCAAAGTGCAAGGTTTTGCATTTGGGCCGGAAGAACCCCAGGCACCCGTACAGGCTGGGAGGAGCGGTCCTTGAGAGCAGCTCGGCAGAGAAGGACCTGGGGGTCCTGATGGACGAGAGACTGAACATGAGCCAGCAGTGCGCTCTGGCAGCTCGAAAGGCAAATGGGATCCTGGGCTCCATCAGGAGAGGGGTGGTCAGCAGGGACAGGGAGGTGATCGTCCCTCTCTACTCGGCTCTTGTGAGGCCCCATCTGGAGTACTGTGTCCAGGTGTGGAGCCCTCAGTACAAGAAAGACATTGAGATTTTGGAAAGGGTCCAGAGGAGGGCGACTAAGATGATCAGGGGGCTGGAGCACCTCCCCTATGAGGACAGGCTGAGGGAGTTGGGCTTGTTCAGCCTGGAGAAGAGAAGGCTGCGGGGTGACCTCATTGCAGCCTATCAATACCTGAAGGGAACCTACACCCAGGAGGGGAGTAACTCTTCAAAAGGGCTGACAACAGCAGGACTAGGGGAAATGGATCCAAGTTGAAGGAGGGAAGATTTAGGTTGGATGTTAGGGGGAAGTTCTATACAAGGAGAGTGGTTAGGCCCTGGAACGGGCTGCCCAGGGAGGTTGTGGATGCCCCGTCCTTGGATGTGTTTAAGGCCAGGTTGGACGGGGTCCTGGGCAACCTGATCTGAATGTGTGTGTTTGGTGGCCCTGCTAGGCAGGGGGGTTGGAACTACATGATCCTTGAGGTCCCTTCCAACCCGGGTGATTCTGTGATTCTGTGATTCTGTGATCTGTGATTTTCTGCCTTTCCTTCAGTCCTATTTGTATCACTTCTACAGGCACTCCTCTGCTAAACTGAAATTACCAAGATACCTGACCAAGTGATATTAAGCCTTGGAGATACATGAAATCCATTTAGTGGTTTAACATAACATCCTCCAAATGTGCAAACAGGACTCTGTTTCACTTGCAAGATCCGGCACAGTAGATGTTCTCAAAGCCTAAGCACAGGCCAGGTTGTATGAGATGACCCCTCACCACTCCTGCTCAGTGGCTACAACCACTCTTGTAGGATATCTGGGACCCATCTCTGGTAGTCACTCTTCTGAGACAGGGGAGCTGAACTTGTAATCCATGAGGAAGGACAGGCATTTTTCTGGCTAATATCTCTTATAAATGTAGCCAAACCCAGCTGTAAACCAACAACAGTGGCAGTCCATCTGAAGCAGAAGAGATTGGTGTAAATGGCTTGAAAGTAGCTACCTGATATCCTTAAACACATGTGAAGCATAAGAATTTTAATAAAAATGTATAATTTTTTGCTCTGGTTTAAAATCTTTTATTCAAAATTAGCCAGAGTGCTTCTTTAACACTGCAGTACATTCACATCACAGATCTTTTCTATGAGATATAAATGAGAGCACAGAGCCACTAAGCCCAGGGTCAGGTTAACCAAGCACTCAGGTTTCTCTGTCACTCACTGAAAATTCATCCAAACAATCTCGTGCATCAATGCTCTTGTGCTAAGCATGGCAAATAAAGCAGTGATAAACCTTCAAAAGTCTAGGAACACTCCAAAGAATGAATTTTTCACATCAAACTGTGAAGATTGATCACTGTAGGTTAAACAGAAGCAGATATGGTCTGAGTGAAATGTCATCGTGACAAGCACTTATCCAGTGCACCAGATATGAAACTGTACTCTATACCATACCAGGGTCAAGAATCAGAAAAACCCTATCAAAGACATGCTGGAAAGCCAGAGGCGATGTATCCAGCCCTCTACTGAGAAGGACTCAACCCTAGGCAGCAGTGATCTCAAAGGTCTCCCAAACATAGCAGTATCCTGTCCTGCTATTTCTGTGCTGAGCGCTGTCAGTCAGTACCCACCATGTCAGTCAGAGCAGCTCCTGACACAGCCAAAACAGGAGATTTTTTTCCATTAAATGTTGCACAGATGTTTTTGTGGCAAGCATTTCCTCTCTGTCAAGACCTACCATGCAATAACCAATACAAATCTCTTCTTCCTTGACCTCCTTCCGTAGACCTAAATAAGCCCTCAAGGGATACAGTTGCCCACCCTACCTCAATTCCCTGTTGGCAAGAGTAGCCCTGAAAAATGCTTGACCCTTACCAGTTTCCAATGAATCGGGGATCATTCTGGTCAATATAAACAGTTGTCCTAGGATCAACATAGAAACCAATGAGAAGTCCTCCCAGTAAGTAGCCAGCTGCAGGACCGAGTGCTCCCATGACATACATGATGGCTGAGGAAATAAAAGATCCAAGTTGTAAATCAGTAAAAAGAACACTTTGTTACTCATTTGCATGTAAATTAGGGATCCAAAAGTAAAAGATGTCTCATCAAGCAGAAAATTTTGTACCCAGAATTTCCTTGAAAGAAACAACAACAAAAACAAACAGAAAAATCTTCAAGGGCTTTGCATAAAACAAAGTATTAATAAGAAAATTACTGTTTGTGCACATTTTCAGTCAAATTACAGATGGAAAAGTACACTATTTTGGTATTTTAGATGGGAAGCATCTATGATTTTGACAATATCTTTTAACATTTGTAACATTTTCTTTGAATAAAAACAGAATTTGAAACATAAAATATAATCAACAGTAAGCAAACAAAAAAGCAATGGGTAAAACTTATACAAGGCAGCAAAGCACAAAGTACAAAATTCCAATACAGTTACTATCAGACTAATACTGGATTTAAAAGAACCAATGTTTAGACATCAAATATTCCAATTTTTGGAGAGTGACAGAATGACATTTTTATTCATGCAGCCACCAACTTGGCCCTGTTGTACACAGTAACAGCAACAGACCACATATGCCATATTTCCACAGGACTCCTTCCTTGTTCAGGAGATTTGAAATTCTAACGTTATTATTAAAGAAACTTCCTAATTTAAAAACCTGGTTAAATGAAAAAGAAATTCTCACATGCAACAATGCAGATGCTTATTTTACAACACCTTCACCACCTCAGTGCTGGATGAACGCAAAATCTTTTTCACTTGAAATAACAGAGTGGGCTCCTATCTGCTATGCCTTCTACAAGATACTCTTTGCAGAGAGCCTCCAGTCCTCATCCTTCAAAAACCCACAACAGGGCATTTCTGAGAAAGCATCACAGCTTCTGTTTGCCTGCATGCCTGTGCAGTCAGGAACAAGGATGAGACTGAGGCAGGAATAGACTACAAACATGCTTCATCTTGGTGTTGGGCTGAACCCCAACTGGGTCTGAGAACCAGGAAACCCTTCTGCATCTCTCAGTGCAGACAGAACCGTGAGACAACAGAACATCTATTATTTGCTGACAAGAACCAAGCACTGAAATTTAGAACCCCTTTTCCATTTTTTTAATAGAGGATAATTTGAAGTCCGTCAATTGTCTTGCCCTTTAAGTCCATCAATTTTGCTTCCTTCCTTTCCTGCTTCTGCAAAACCCGAGTCAACTTTTGAACTAAGCCAAGGTCAGTTATCACAACCCTAACCATGACCTTAGGTATTTTTCAAAGATCTTTCTCCTGTTCTCCATCTGTCATCACAGAGTGGTCCTGTGTGGAGTCAGGAGTTGGACTTGGTGCTCCCTATGGGTCCCTTTGGAAAATTCTGTGATTCTATGATCTATTTCTCTCCTTAATGCATGCTGCAGCACCCATCCCTTTTAGAATGTTTCTATCCCATGCATGAAAGCATGAAAGACCCAATAGATTATAAGGAACAATCTTTGCCTGTCTGGTACCACAAAAACCCCAAGCTCCAGCAGCACAGCAACACAAGTGCTGCAGACTCACTACATAGCACATCAGAAGAGACCTGGTAATCTAATCATCTAAAAAGATCATCCTGGCTCTGGAATCTCCACCTCCGCATGGTTTCAGTGGAGCAGTCAGCCTCCCTGGTAGACCCCATCCTGTTTGGTCCCACCTTCAATCGGACAAGCACAGTCCTGGGGCTGCAGCCACTGAGGGAGCTTAATAGAGCTGTAGAAAGCCACCTTTCTGTGACAGCACTTACAGCAAATTATATCTCAAAGACAAAATAAATGAAATCATGAAATCTACCTGATTAGACAAAATACCTCATACATTTTCATGTTGTGTTTTAAAAGAAGAGAAAGATGAGAATAATCTCAAGAGTAAAAAGGGGCTGTTTATCAAGGACCTATTCTGCAGAAAAAAAGTTGCAGAAGCTACCACAAAAGGTAAACTGCCTGCATAAAAAGTATTTTTCAGACTATAAATTTATTTATTACTTTTAAGTTGCTCCTTCTAAATCACATTTTCAATTTTTACGAAGCTGTAATTTGAAATAATTAGATTTCTCTAAGGTCCCTTTTACCTAATGGTTTCCAGAACTGTGTTCACTACTTAAATTTATTCCAGCCATGTTCCCTTCTGCCTTGATTGCAAACAATTCTTTGCATGTGTAAAATGCTCCACGACACATTATAACACCACTACTTACCACTAGTAAGTGGTTAAACTGCACAGTAACTGTCACTTGTATAATTCACATCATAAGGAGAGGGAAAAAAAAAACACCTATCGTAATAAATTATGTTCAATGAATACTTTCTTAGAAAATAGATTCAAAGAAGTGCAGTAAACTCAGGTCTCTAAGAAGTTTACAGAGAGAAAACACAAAGGGAGTAAAAGAGTGACCTAATCCATTCATTTCAGCATTCAGAAAAAATACTTACACTGCATCTATTCAACTTCAAGTCCACCACTGAAACAGGGAAAATGCAGCAGCTGCTTGGGCTCAGCAGCACCACTCAGCACTTGTGCTATGTTACACCTGGTAACCTCAGAGGCTGTTCTTATAAGCAGAAATTCTGTGCACTAAAGATAAAAATAAATGAACACTGCGTTCCATTAGAGGAGGTGATGCTGCCGACTATTTCATAAGTTTTTTTCTAATTGCTGTTTGCTGCTCAGGTTTTGGGTTGTTTGGGGTTTTTTTTTGTTTGTTTTTAAATACAGCTTACAGATAACATGCAAAATTCTGAATATTTCAGAAAACAGGGATATCCCACATCTGGTTCCGGGCATAAAGGAAACCGTAAGCTCACGAGTTCCATTACTGGGGAACTAGTTTAGCACACTGCAACAACTTCTTCATTATTCAGTAATGGTCACAATCAAAGACCAGATACCAGGTGTAGTAAATTGATCCTGATTTCTAAATAGAACTAAAGATGGAGTGTGGCAAGAAAAGTATTTTGATATTTCAAAATGAGGTACTTGACAAAATCTGCATGAAACTGCTAAACCTTGCTGTGAAAATGAAGCTATCTCCAAGGTATGGCCTTAAGTTGAGCCAGGGGAGGTTCAGGTTGTATATTAGGAAAAATTTCTTCTCAGAAAGAGTGGGGAGACATTGGAACAGGCTGCCCAGGGAGGCTGTGGAATAACCATTCCAGGAGTTGTACAAGAAATAGGTAGACATAGCACTGAGGAATGTGGTTTGGTGGCATGGTGGGCATGGGTTGATGGTTTGACTATATGATCTTAGTTGTCCTTACCAACCTTAATGGCTCTATGTTTCCAGGAGTCAGCCTAGCAGACTGCTCTGGGGCCTTGAAACTCTGGTCACAGACTGCATGAAAATGCACCCTAAACCCTGAGAATATTGATTCCCAAACAGGCCACCAATATTACCAGATGATACAGAAAGGAAACTAAACTGGAAATAGATTCAGCCAGGGCATCATCAAAACTGAACTCTGCTCACAAACACAAAAAGTTCTGCAGACAACTGTTCCATATTTTTTTCCATTTTCATCTCGAGGTTTTGGATGGAAAGGATCTAAAACACTGCAGTGATGTAGGAACACCTTCTCAGCACCCTGCCCAGCTCTTTAATTTTAACAGAAGTAAAAAGAAAATTTTAACAAGGGAACACGTGGTGCTGAGCCAGTCTGCACGACATTAATTGCATGTAAGGAAACCTTGGATGTGCCTGACTTACAACCTTCACAGGTTCCTATATTTGCAAACTATCTTCAAATCTTCTAAGTCAGAAAAGAACTATGCTATAAAGTAGCAGTAATATTTCCACATGATAAAACAGAAATCATGTATATGTTACATGCTATAGTTCCGTTCCAAAGAGCAAGTAATCTTAAGAAAATAAAATGGGAACATTATTGCTAATACAGATGTTTGGACTACAAGGGCCATCTAGTTCTCTAGTGGTTGATTTTCACTAAAGTGAAGAATTGTACCTTTCAGAGTTACTGTATTAGCCATCTCCACACTCAGTGTTGGCAAGTCTCTAAGCATGCTTCTCAGGGAAGGTGGGTGACAATGCACCGGTAGGTGCATTGTTATTGTCATCCTTAGCTGAAATATGGCCACTTGAGAAATACACGTGACATTCAATGCAATCACCTACACCTGGACCTTGAAGAAGGTTTTTTTTTTCTCAGAAGTTTGTCAAAGCTTGCTGCTTTGTCATGTAGTCATGTAGGATCTTTTGTCCTCAAACCAAAGCACTGGTTAGTCTGCTGAAATAACACTGTATTTAGAAACATCATTTCAAAGGCAAAGATCTTGCATGTTTTTTTAAGTCTCCTTTTTCTCTCAAAGACTCAACGTCCTGGGGAGGAGATCACATCAGCAATCATACCTCATTCTTTGGGTTAAGCTCCTCTTCAGTCTGATCAGGGAAAGATTTTCCCAGCCCTCTTAAACCTGGTATTTCAGAACATAGTTCTAACTCCTAGTTCAAATTCACTTAAATGCTTATTTGCTCCTATGATACCCAGCCACGGATACTTCAATTCCTTTGACTTTTTTTCTTTTTGTTTTTGTACAACACCGTACCACTCAGTCTGGGTGTACAGTTTCCACTTACAGCTGGCTATGGCTAGCTTAGCCAAACATCCATCACAGCTAAGACTCTAGATGAGAGAAGAAGGGAGTCAAAGCAACAGTTTTGAATTACACACGGAATTTACCTACAAAATAAAAGAGAATTAAGAAATATCATTTTTATCCATTGAAAAGTTTATCCTAGGACATGTTCCAATTAATATTTCCATTCTGACAAAACAAAAATATTTACTGCTTCTGATCATAGGACTTTCTTCTTCCAGAGAAGAAGAATCTACAGAGACCCTATTGTAGCAAAGCCACTGTGATTACAGTAAGATGGACTCAATCCTCTATGGGTCTAAAAATCCCTGTTCTTACAATAAATGCATAAAACAACATAGTTACTAAAGGTACTTTTTCAATCT